CAATCATTTTCTCTTCTGATGGGCGCAGAGAGGGTACTCAACGTCCATCTCTGAATGTGCTCCAAGGCTGCTTCACATGGGTAGATCCCTGCCACCCTAAATCTCTTGTGCGCAAAAATGAGATTGTCACAATACTCTAACCCTGCAGGTATGAGTTTCTCTTGTGGCTCAGCTATCCCTCCGTGGCTGACCTCAAAGCTTCACCACTCCGTTTTTACCTGCTCTTTTCTTTCTAATGCAGAGGCCTGTATAAAATCAAGCTTCTGGATGCATGACATGCTTTTGGCCAATGTCAACGCTCCACAATTTATTTTCAGAAAATCTGCTCTGGCCAGGGCTTACCTTGCATGTAGCGTAAACTGTATTCTGGCCTTGCATGCTGCAGGAACCCAGTTTATGTTTAATGTTCACAGCCTGTTAAATGCCTTCCCCCTCCGTCCCTGGTTTGCAAACACTTTTTAATTTCTTAAGGTGATCGTGTAAACGCTGAACATCCAGCCACCCATAATAGTCGTGACTGCATCGGCCATGAAGCCAATCTGAGCCACACCTAAGGCCTGCCACAGCATCTCTGGCACACTTACTCATAAAGAGGATGAGCAAAACTTGCCTTCCTTGGTGGAATCAGCACAATGACAGCAGGCAGAGAGGAAATCTGCCAAGCATTTGAGGAGGACTTGAAAAGAAATTTCCCCCAGTAAGAATCCCTCCCAATTGGACTCCAGTTCCTATCAGCCTCAGCTGGACCAAAATAATAGGAGTTAAGGTTTAACACATCTAAAGGGGCCCACATTCAGAAAGGCTGCCCTAAGGTGTGGCTGGAAGACCAAGTAGGAGCAGATTTGGGCTATCTAGCAGGAAAAGTGAATGGTCGTCCAACTGAGACAGGCTGAATCCAAATGTGAAAAATGGGGGATCAAGTGAGGCCTCAAACTCCATCAAGAGCTTCCAAAGAGTGCATCTTCCAGAGTTAGAACTGAATCAATTCTGGTCCAGGTGGAAGGTTAGGTGGTTGGAGGGACCTAGACTGGCGGGGTGGGCGGGGGTGTAGAGAAGTAGATTATTTCTCCACCCCATCCCCCAGGACTGGCATTGTTAGCAAACAGGAAAGATGCCCTTTATCAGCGGTGCACGAACGGAAGCTTCAAACTTCCATTAAGCCGCCCGCAGGAAGGAAGGAAGGAAATGTGGCTTCAGGATTCTCGACTGTTTAAAATACTTAAGCCTTCACTGAACTACTCACTTTTGCATTCCACTCCAGCCTCTGCCCCTATATATTTATGCCCCCCATACTTATTTACTCCAACTCCTCTATGTATATAAATGCCCATAAATGCATGCCTATATTCCTAGAAAGGGGGACTCACACTGCAGCCCTCTGACGATGCACCCACAAACACCACAATCAAATAGGACCATTTTTTGCAACTCCTTTGTGCTATTTTTCCTGCCACGGGAGAAGGCCGTATTGTGCCTTGACACGTCCTCCCCAAAGTTACCCCAAGCCTTCCTCAGTTTCCCTATCTCAAGGGATGTAGGATGGGAGGGACCCCAAAGCTGTTCTGCATACAAGCGAAGCCTCAGAGGTCTAACTGCAAACATTCCAAGGAATTCAGCGGGGATATTTAATATTGTTACGATAATGCAAATCAAAGCCCACTGCCTCTCGTAGGAAAACTGAAAGAGTAGCTAGACCATACGGAAAAGTCTGTGCGCTGTTATGCCTGGATAAGGTTCAGACATTGTGCATTCAGTTTGTGAAACAGGGCTTGTCCAGGACCCCATGGCTAGATTCTCACATCACGGAGATTCCTCAACCACGGTGGACAAATTATGTACAGGTTTCAGGTTTCATGTAATTGTATATTTATTGTTTTAATGAGCTGTGAGCCACCCAGAGTCCCCCATTAGAGGGAGATGGGCGGGGATAAATTTAATAAATAAATAAAGATTTACTTCGCACAAGACACTAAACCCCCCAGTCCCCCAAAATCAGCTACATTAAAACCCGGGTCAAAGATGGCTTTGAGATGTTCTGGAGGTCAAGACATAATCCAGTGGGTTGCACCTCAAGTTTGCTGAATTGTTGCTTTACTGAATACACAACCGGCTGAATTGTATACATCACAACTTGCTACAGTAGAATTTTGTAATGTTTACATCCCATCGCTTACAGTTTACAAAGGCAACATCCTCTTGTCACAAACAAGGAAACCACATTACAGCTTACCAGGTTGACTGAACGAGGCCAATACCAATTTACAGCCAACGTATTTCTTTCTTTCCAATATTTATATATTGCCAACTTCTCACAAAGCTGTAAGTGGTTCACTACCTTACAGCCCTTCCTGGCTTCACTTCAGCTTTTCGTGTCCTAGCCCTGGTTAACCTTGATTTGCCAAACAGTAGCCTTTTTTTAAAGTGAACACAATTAATAAAGATACTCAGTGGCTGTGGTGGAAGGGGTGTGTTGATAAACAAACACTTTCAGATCTCTCAAGGGCAACACTGGAGGTTTGCAATGCAATTTCGAGGGGAGAGGGGTGGGAAAAGCTGGCTTTCTCGCATTTAAAGACTCTCTTCCTTGTTCAACCCACTGAGACACCCGCTTTTTCAAACTTGCAGCCCCATCCCCCTAGAAAATTGAAGCACAGTGGCTCCAACCCGGGGTCGGAGAGAGGATCCCATGCAGGGTGGGAACTAAGGAAGCTGAGAGACGATACCGGGAAGGTTCAAACAGGAGGACACCCAATTCAGGTGCCATTCCAGGGGGGAGCAGGGAGCCCAGCGTGTAAGAGACCGGGCTGTCCAACTGAACTTCACTCCTTCCCCTGCCTTTAAAAGAAAGGCCCTAGTGCATAGAGCAGAAGCTGCTGACCTCCAAGCTCTGATCCTAGGGGCTTTTCCACATTCCCCCAACAAGGGAGCCCAGAACCCCCAAACAGCACCAGGAAGCTCGGGGATTGGAGCTTTTGTGACTCAAAGAGCAGGCGTGCCTCCCTGGGTTGTGGTCGTTGATTGGCTGGGAGATATTTTCTCGCCTTGCACTGAAAAGGGGGGGGGGGGGTTTAGGCAGAAGACAAAGCCAGTCCGTTGTTCTGAATCTCTGCAGGATCTTCCCCCTCCCCCGTCCCAAGCCCCGCTCTGCAGACCCTGAACAAGGGAGAGCAGCCCCTCTTTCCAGAACGGGGAAAGAAGCGGAGAGATTCCCCCATCACCACCATGCACAAGCCCGAACGCTGCGAAGGTTAAATGGTTGCAGGCCTCCGCGCTCCCGTCCCCGGTTTCGTAGGGGGAGAAGGGTCCCCCGATGCACCCAAGAAGGGGCATCTAGTGGAAGGGAAGGGAGAACGAGGGGCGCAGGGAGGAGAGGGCGCAGGGCCCAGCCCGGGATGAGGGAGCAGTGGGGGGCAGCCAGGCCTTGGGGGGAGACACTTAACTGTTGCCCGGGGCGCTGGCGGCGGCTGGTCGCGGCTCCCCCGTTTCAGGCAGAAGCAGCTTTTCATTGCCCGGCAGGGCAGGGACCGGAGCGGAGGCAGGAAGAGGAGGAGGAGGAGGAGGAAAGGGAGAAGAAGAAGCGGCAGCGAGTGGGGAGGAGG